CCCAGTGTGAGACTCTTGGTGACCGAGATCAATAGTCAGCAGTGAAGCAAGTGGAAGCCGTCCGATCACAGACTGACCAGGCCTCCATTTTAAGAAGCAGCCAGCACTAGGTACTTCAGAGGACGGTGTCTAGAGTGCTGGAGAGAATAATCGGGGGATAATCTGCTTGAAGAGGTGTTGCTTTCAGCCCATGAGCCTGAGGTCACACCCTGACACGTGATGGTACCTGTCTCTTCCTTCCAATGGGTAAGAGGGGCTTGCTGTCACTCAAGATAAGCCCTATCACACCACAGTTATGATGGGTACAGGCCTGTACTGCCTGTGGGCACCTTGTCCCTCACTGGAGGAATGAGTCTCCCCTTCCCAGGCTCCGTGGTCTCACCCATGAGGTGGCATTAAGGTGCTCCATGCTGTGCAGCAAGCATGGGTAGTAAGCAAGCCCTGTTCTCCCCAAATCACTGAGTCCCTGTACTCATGCCCCTCAGGGGGAAGGCTGCACAGACCATGGGCTGAGAGCCAGAGAGCCAGCATCTTAGTGCAGGCACTGTCTTGCCATGACAAGGCAGCTATCCTTCTCCAAGCATGGGAAGCCAGGATCTTCTCAGGCACGTGCCCTGGGCCCCGACCACATTGTGCCCTGTCTGAGGGCCCTACTTTTCTATGAATGTCCCTACCTGTGGGTGCACAGTCATTGACAGACTCCTATGCTGAGCCTGTTTGCCTGGGACCCCTGTCCGTAGAGAAGGCTCAGGGCAAGAATCAGTGACAGAAGATGCCCAGCTACCTCCCTGTGGGTTGGGGCTAATTGATGGGAAGCAGGCTTCTTGCCCAGTGAAAGCAAGAAGTGCCATACGCACCTCACCCAGGCAGGGGCCTCTTCTTAGCCTCAGCCACATCCACCCACTAAGCCTGATTTCTCACTCCCTCCTCCCATGGAACCCCTGTTGACTTTCCCCCCAGGCTGTTTCTGATGTACTCAGGGCTGAGCCAGTGGAGGATCAGGTGCATTGCCTGCCCACATGTACAGCCCCACCCCAGGGCAGGTCACTCCCCACCACCCCCTCTTCCCCTAGCTGATCTGCCACCTCCAAGCCCAGTCACTGCCCTCCATACAGGGTCAGCAACCTAACTGGACAAAGTGTTGTTGAAGTCAGTCCAGCTGATGTTGCAGCCTGGTCTAGGTTTATTGAGGGAGCCCATTCCTCCACCCCCATTAGAATAGGCTTTAGTCCCCTGGGGCTGGGATGGAGCAGACCAGGGCGGCTGGCATGTGAGAACTGACTCACTTTGGGGAACCCATTCTCTCCCCCTCTCCCCAGCTGCAGCCAATCAGAAGTGCTGCAAAATTTTAATTCTCACCTTCCAAGCTGATTGAGTGGAGCCCAAGGGAGACACGGTTCTTGTGCTGTTTGGTTTTGTTCCAGTTTCTCTCCTTAGCCATGCGGTACCCTTGCTTGAGGCATGTCCTCCCTCACTGCAGAGCCATGGGTTGGGGCTCGGGGGAGGCTGGTAGTTGGGGCTGCCAGGGTCCCACCCTTGGCTTGGCTTCTGACTAGTTGTGTGACCGTAGTCCAGTCATAGCAGCTCCGCAGGCCCACCCACACCCGACTCCAGCGCAAGCTGGGCAAACACCAGTTCAACCTCCCTCCTCCCCTTTTTCCCCTGCTCCCATCCTGAGAAAGAACTGGAGCTGGGGGAGGGCAGGTTGGGGCTAGGGGAAGAGGCTGCAGTGATGCAGCCTCTCTTGCTGGATTGACTCCAAATTGGAGCTCCATCCCCCACCCTCCCAACCCAACAGCTCATGTCTGTTGAGTCTGGAGGATCTGTCTAACTCATGGTGCTTTCTGTGAACTGCCATAAGTTAGACTGGGGAGCTGCACTTCTGTCTGTGCCTGGAGACACTAGACTTTCCCCCTTACTTCCAGGACTCATCTAGAGGGCCTCCAGCACCTGGAAGGTGGAAAGCCCTAAGGTAGGGTTTATAGCTATTCCTCAGGCACCACAGCAGGGGTGCAAACTGAGATGGGGAGGTGGAGTTGCAGGGGCCAAGGCCTGGGGAACAGGACAATTCTCCCAGATCCAAGCCCGTCTCTCCAATTTTTCAGCCAGGTGAAGTTGTGCAGATCCCAGCTAGGTTGAATCACATTCGAGTAAAATTGTAGGCCGTCTCAAGGCCTTTACTGAGTGCCAAACATACAGCACCTGCTGCTTCCCCCTCCCTGCGCTGGGAATGGGCTGCAGGGTTATCTGAACTGCTGTCGAGCCTGCGCTGAGAAACCCTGGAAGGGGCACATACCAGCACACTCACCTCTTGTAGATGATTTGAGATCAGCAGTGACAAGCTCCCCCCCGCCCACCCCTGGTCAGAGGTATTATCCCAAACTCTGCTCTAAGTAACAGCAACCTGTGTCTTTGCTGCATGCTTTGATAGGAGCACACGTGGGATGCAGGAGTCAGATTCCTTCATTCAGGGCACTGCAGAAGCATAGGGAAGATTCTGGTACACCCCCCCTGGGAACTGATGGTTGAGTTATACAAGGGGTGAGGGAAAGGCATAAAGTGATTCCTATTTCAGAGAGGGAACAGAGGTGCAGTGAGGACCAGGGCATGTTTACACACAGCCTCATACTAATTAAATCAGAACAAGCCTCTCTGTGGATGGTTCTATTTTAGGCTAAGGGGAGGATTGGTTTATATTTAACCTGTTCACACTTGATCTAAGCTAACTGGAAGCTGCAACTCAGCCTGTAATAGGAAGAGTCAGATGAGTGTTTGCAGTAGCTCAATAAATGCATCCTGTCAGTTGTACTAGGGATAATTTTCCACAAGGACTGTCTGTGGGACTCACTGGGGAAGCCCACTGTTGAGCCAGAAGCCTGAACCCATATCTCCTAAGCCCAGCACCCTCACCACAAGCCTGTCTTCCTACATCAGTCAGTGCCTCCTTTCAGTGCCCTTGTTTCTTTTTCCTATTGGTTTCCTTCCACTCCTTGTGCCGCACCTTTATATCCTTCAGATCCCTCACTTCTGCTGCGCTCCCCGGTGGCAGATACCAGCCAAAGCTTGAGTCTGTGTAACACACCCAAATTACAGCCAGTGCCGGTCATCTCAGAATCATAGTAATCATAAAAAATGAGGGTTGGAAGGGACCCCAGGAGGTCATCTGGTCTAACCCCTGCTCAAAGCAGGACCAGCCCCAACTAGACCATCCCAACCATTGAGCCGGGCTGTAAAAGCCACCAAGGATGGAGATTCCACCACCTCTCTGGATCCTGCTGGGTCGAGCCAGTGAGTTGGTGTCCACGGGCCTCAGTGTCACGCCGACAGGCAGCATGACATGGTGTGGCCATCCGGGGCCAGGATGCTCAACGCGGAGCAGGAATCAGATTCCCTCCCCCTGATCTTTGCTACTGTCTTGCTCTGAGCAGCCCCTGCAGGTGTGTGCAGAGGAAGGAAACGCAGGGGAAGTCCCAACCAAGACATTTATTTTATTTCATAATAAAAAAAACCCAAAACAGACATAACTTCCTGAAAACAACTTCCTACCTCATAATTTCACAGAAATTAGCTTGGAAACTTTGTTTGTCCTCCCTGCTCCCATTCCTGCCTCAGGCCCTGCCCTGCGCCCTCCCTGAGGGGAAAGCCATCTCCCCAGCTCTCCTGAGGACTGTGACAGAAGTACCAATGCTCTGAGAGGGGGGCAGGCCAGACTGCCCTGTCCTTGCCCCTTGAGCATGGTGAGCCTGGGCTAGTAGCTGAATGGTCCCTGCTCACCTCTGCCCCTTCTCCATGCCACAGGGGTGCAGCAGTGTCAGCTGGCATGGCTGGCTGATGATTTCTCTCCCTGTGCTGGGCCTGAGAAGATGGGTCCTGGCCTTTGCCAGGTCTGCTACACAAAATTCGGCCTCTCCCTTGCTGTACCTCACTGACACCCTGCTCCCATCCCACTGGCTTCCTTTGTCAGCACTGCCATGTACCTTATCCTGAGAGGTCCTATCCCTCCTGCCTCAAGGCCACCCTCCTCCTCTGTCTCACAAGGGAGCTAGCAGCAGCTGATTTCACACAGTTCAGCTCAACTTCAGACCTGCAGCTGGTCAGAGGCTGCTAGGTTTGGTTTCTGTGCCTCTGAAATACCCCACACCAGAGCAAACACCACTGGGGCTCTGTATGTACCATGTAATGTGACAGTAAATCTCCCCACCCCCAGAAGATGCCAACCTGCCTGCTCATCCCCTGCTGCAGCCCTGTGCCACAGCTGGTGTCTGAATTATGCCCAGGCAATGGAGGCCCTTGGTGTATTCGAGAAGAGATGAGACAGATGAGAGGAGGCCTTAGGGCATGGCATGGAGGGAACAAGGAGGGGCAAGCTGGGTCTCTGTCAGGGGCCCTCACGACTGCTCTTCACCATGCTCCATGCTCCTTCCAGCTAGACTCATGAGAGATGCCCAATGAATATGTATTTCAGTTGAGGACTAGGCCACTGCCTCACTCCTGGACACAGCCAAAGGACCCACCATGCCAGTCTGGCCTGGGTACCCCCTCACTAACAGTCCTGGGAGCTGCCCAGGGTATCTGGACCCCAGCCTTATGCTGATGTAGATTCAGGGTCTGGAAGTTTCAGACTAAGAAAGCCCCTGATCCACAGGCTATGGGACCTCATTACCAAGGAGCAGCTAATTTCCACTGGCACTAGAGCAGCCCTGCCCTGCACACATCCTCCCCTCAGAGAACCACAGGGCAGAGAACTGCCCTGCTCACAGACCAGCCCAACTTGGCATTGGCCTTCCAAGGGCCCACGCTCTCATCATGAACAGTCATACTGGGAAGTTTCCTCTGGGACTCAGCAAGGGTCCTGTCTCCCTGGGGAGACCTGCAGGGAGAGGGACACAGCATGTACCATTCACCCCCAGCCTCCTAAAGAGCTGGGTAGCTTCATTTTCACCAGCCACATGAAGGAAGGGTGCACGGGTCCCTCTGAGGGGACACAGAGGTGAACAGAAACAGCAGGCAGGCTCAAGCGGGCCTGTGAGATAGGGCTCCTCCTGGCTGCCGTGTACCTTAGGCTGGGTCTTCAGGTTCAGGAGGGGATGTGAGCTGCCAGGTTGAGAGCCCCGTTTCCCTCTCTTCTTCACAGGGCATCCCAGGGCTGCCACCAGCTTGCCTCATGTCCAGGCCCTGCATCTACAAAGTGGGGCTCACTCTGGGCCATGTTTCACTGCTCCAGTCTCTGAGGGGCCATAGGCAGCCCAGGGCAGGGGTTCACCTCCCTCTGGCAGGAACCCTGGTGCCCCAGTGCTAATGAGTTAATAAATTCATTTCTGACTAAGAAATTAGACCCTTAAGAAAAATCACCACCCCCCAAAGTAACCAGTTTGTTTATCAGCTCTGCCAAATTCCCTGGCTTGCAGGGCCCTTTACTCCTGGCCTTCAGTGTGGTGTCAGAAGCATGTGCGGCAGTGTGGAGATGACTCTCAAGGCAGCAAAGCCCTGGTGGCCGGCTCTGCTGAAAGGCCTCCTCCTCCCTGCCCTAACCGGGGCACGAAGGGATCCTGAGGGTGCAGCTGGTGACAGGGCCCAGGGCTTAGTCTTTTGGTGTCTTCTTGCTGCGCGAGTTCCACATGCCGCGCTTAGAATGGTAGTAATGGTAAAAGTTCCTGAGTCGCAGGCGCTCCACCTCCAACCCGCTCTGAAGGACCCTGCAGTGACAGGGGAGACAAGGAGAGGGAGACTAAAGTTCAGCTCAGGAGAAAGACAAAGCAGAGAGGAATCTGGAGAACAGACCCTTGGTTCTCCTCCAATTAAGGACTCTGTTATTCTTTTTTGAATATTGGACGGGGTTGCCTAATACCTACTCAGCCTAGCAGACTGAAGTGGAACTCTCTTGGTGGTACAGCTCTGACGCTTCGCAGCCCAGACGTATTCAAGCAAATTCATGGCACACGTCCCTGAAACCTCCAAAGGGTCTTCTGGCAAAACCAGCGAAGACCAGGCTTGGCACATATCTGAGGTGAATGTCAAATGATCCCCACCCCGCCACCACATTTCAGGTTTAATTTATTTGGGAAAAGGGAACCAAAAAAAAAAGGGCACAGCACTATTCTTTCTCTGCCAGACTTGGCACCATGTCAGAAAAAGAGAAGCGTTGGCTCTCCAGCCCCACTGGCCTTACCTGTCCAGGAGCTCCCAGTCCTCCCCGCCCCAGCGGTCTCTGAACTCCTCCGTGTTCATGCCCCCAACCCGGTCGAAGTCAGATTTGTAGATCCCAAAGAGGCCAAACCCATTCACCTCCCAGTAGCCTGAGAAAGGAGGAAAGCCAGGTGACACATAAGATCTCAGGGGTGGGATTGGTGCTGGAGTGGCAGGAGGGGCAAAGAGGCAGAGTGAGGAGCAAGGCTGGCTGCCACAGCATCAGAACCCAGCTAGTCCTGGTCCCCTGCTCCTTTGCCTCCGTGCTCTCCCCTCCTTCAAGGCCACACTGCCCTCTCTTGGAAATTGATGGCATCAAGCAGTCCCAAAAGGGCTTTGTCTCTTGGCCTCTAAAACAGGCCCTCCCCCACCTCATCCTCAGAGCAAACCAGTTCCCCTTGCTGGAAGGGATTGACCACATGCCCCTGGGGCAAAGGTACTGGGTAGAGGGGCAGGAAGGAGGATTGCTTCAGGCAACCATTTCTCAGAAGCCATCTATTACCTCCCTTCCCCTCCCCCACAAAGCAGGCTGCTCTCCAACAAGGCAGATCCCATACAGGGGCCATATATATGCAGCATGGGGCAGCTTCAAGACTTCTCCCCACCTCTACAAAAATGAATCTCTGCCCTTGCATGCTTCCTGGTGGTTTGCTCACACTTGACTAGAAGCAAAGCAATAGAAAACCTTCAGGGGTGAGGGAGGGAGGGATTCCTGGATGTTTGGGGCATTATGAACCAAGGAGTTGTTATTCTTGACTACTGATATTCCAGGACCGCCCCGAAGATCTAGGGCTGGGGCCCCAAGGTGCTGCATGTTGTACAGATACAGATGAAAAGGCAGAACTTGCCTCAGGGAGCCTTGTGAATCTGAGCTTGCAGATGTTGCCAGCGCACTCACCGTCATCTCACTGACATGCTTTCCGCTCTCTTTGTGTCACTCGCTTCACTACTGCTATCCTCTCAGGCATTTAGGTCTAACTGAACAAGCAACCTCCCCCTGCCAGGTTTGTCAGACAGCATTAAAGTTCAGTCCTATAGCATCTGACAGAGTAGATTGCTGTCAATGAAAGCTCAGGCCTTTCTGAACCATTAGTCTCCACGGTGGAGACTTGTCCAAGTCTTCTAGTGACAGCAGAATTGGTCAGAAGGCAGAGACAATCAGAAGTAACAGCAGGACTGAGGACTCCTGGGTTCTACACTGTCTCACTGTGAGCAAATTGTTCACCGTTTTCAAGCCTGTAGGGAGGGGATGGACAGAGCCGGTCTCTGGGAGTTGTATCACACTATCATAGTGTATCATAGTGCTTAGGGTCCGAAGGGACCTAAACAGATCATCAGGTCCAACCCCCTGCCCCAGACAGGAATGGATGCCGGGGACATATCACCTCAGCCAAATATCTGTCCAGCCTCCTCTTGAGGTAGGAGAGAGCACCACCTCCTTTAGAAGCCCGTTCCAGAGCCTGGCAGCCCTAACCGTAAAGTAATGTCTCCTGATGTCCAGCCCGAACCTTCTCTCCAACAATTTGTGACCATTATTCCTAGTAACCCCGGGTGGTGCCTGGGGGAACAGAGCCTCCTGCTATTTCCACAGGTGAGTTTGTAAATGGCCACCAGATCCCCTCTCAGCCTTCTCTTATGGAGGCTGAATAGGTTCAGGCCCTTTAGCCTCTTTTCGTAGGGCCTGACCTGTTGCCCCTTGACCATACGAGTGGCCCTCCTCTGGACCCTCTCAGTGCTAGCCACAACCCTCCTGAAGTGCAGTGCCCAGAACTGGATGCAATACTTCAACTGTGGCCTGACCAACACTGCATAGAGGGGAAGGATCACCTCCCTGGACCTGCTTGTGATGCATCTGCAGATGCACAACAAGGTGCGGTTAGCCTTACTGACTGCTTCCTCGCATTGGCGGCTCATGTTCATCCTGGAGTCAACAGTGACTCCAAGATCCCTTTCCACCACCTTGTTGACAAGAAGGGTGTTCCCCAGCCTATAGGTGTGTTGCTGGTTCCTTCTCCCTAGATGAAGCACCTTGCACTTGTCTGCATTGAACTCCATCCTATTCTCATCTGCCCACCTCTGTAACCTGTCTAGATCTGTGTGAAGCTTCCATGGAGTTTGCAATACTGTGATCCTCCCCACAAAGGGGCCTGGAGATGCGTGAAGTTTTCTTCTTTCTGTTCCCAGCCCATGCACTCAGTGAGAGGGGCATAAGACTTAGAGCAGGAGCTGACTCCAGACTGTATTTCTGACAGCAAGTACAGCCCAGCTCCTTGGAGGACCCAGCCTTTAGCCAGAACACTATGTGGGTAGCAGGGTAGAGGAGGACCTGTGTCACTGATCTCAGCAGTGCAGCAAGTTCTGGCTGGGCCAGGAGCCCAACTTCTGAGCTCTGCCATTAGCTACCAGCTAGGAGCTATGCCATTAGTTTCCTCAGTTGGATTAGCTCCTCCCTTCCCAGGGGGCTGAATTTGAGAGCCCAGAGCTGGCCCTCCCCACTGAGGACCATGCCATAGGGTGGGTTTGGCAATACATTACCACTGGGCTCCTGTGGAGAGCTGCCGCAGCTCAGCCTCATGACAATGGGTGCATAGGCCAGCTTGCCCTCCACGCAGTGTTTCCGGATGCTGTCCAGGATGTTAAGGGGGAAGTGGATGTGCAGGTCACAAAGGAACACGATGCTGCGCCCATCCTGAGGGAGGCAGACATATGGACAGACAGACCATTAGGATCATAGGAAAGTAGGGATAGAAGGGACCTCACAAAGCCATCTAGTCCAACCTCGTGCTCAAGGTAGAGTCATCCCTAACTAAAACATTCCAGCCAAGTGTTGTCCAACCTGCTCTTGAAAACTTCCAAGGATGGAGAGTCCACTATGTCTGTAGGTAGCCTTTTCCAAAGCTTGACCACCCTGATGATCAGAAAGTTCCCCCTAATCTTTAACTGAAATTTCCCCTGCTGCAGCTTGAGGCCATAGCTCCTAATCCTATCACCTATGGCCACAGGGGAAAGCCCATCTCCATTATCTCTATAAACACCCTGCAGGCATTTGAAAACTGTTATCCAATCCTCCCTCAGTTTTCTCTTCCCCAGACTAAAATAACTGTAGCTCTTTCAGCCTTTCCTCATACATCATGTTTCTCAGGCCTTTGGCAGGCAGCCGACTCCATGACAAGCAAAGACAAGCTGCTCTGGACAGACAGAGCCATCATTCCCTCCCAAAAACCCCAGTCACTCACCTCAATGGTATCCACCCCAGCCTGCAGTCCCGCTGAGCGCTCAAAGTTCCCTGTGCGCTTCAAGTACTGATACCTGGGAATAAAGTGCATGGCCAATGCAGTGTGTCAAAGGGATGGGGCTGCTCACCCTGGGGCTCAAGGGGATGGAACTCCAGCAGAGCAGGGAGCCAGCATAGTTAACTGAGAGGGACAGAGCCCAGCAGTGGTCACAGGGCTGAGCCAATCTCATGAGAGGTCTCCAGTGATCTGGGGAGGGGAGTGTGGGGGATGTTATAGCAGGGGAAGTAATGTTATAGGAGCTTGTGGAGGGTCAGCGCTTGAAGTAAGAGCGGGAACAAGCTAAAGAAACCTGAGCAGCAGTTAAGATTCCCTCCACACCAACTGCAGGGGCCTTGCTGTCCTAACGGACAGAGATGGGGCCCTAGAGGACCCCCCCCTCCCCACCTTCCCTGCTGCCTCACCTCAGATAGCTGAGGGGTTGGGTGTTCAGACAGGGATGCTGGGGTGTGGTGCCAGGGTGGGAAGTGGGACATCAGCAAGCATGGGCTCTGGGGCCTGTGTCCTTCCCTGCCAGGTTACCGGGGCAGCCGGGCTTCCTGCAGCGCCTTCTCCACGTCCATGTCATCGCTGTCAAAGTCCACCAGGATGATGTTGAAGTTCGCATCCTTGGTGTCCCAGTACAGGTTGGCCATGTCTGAGATGAACTGCTGAACCCAGCGAGCCTGATTCTTCACTGCCAGGCACAAGCACAGGCACCACTGAGGGTCAGTGTCTCACATGCTACCCTGCTGGGGCCAAGAGCCAGATCGCATCCCACCATGTGAGGCCTGAGACTTATAGGACAATCTTGGCACATCTGGAGCTCTGAATGTCTGCCCAGAGCGGCTGGACCTGCTTTCCTGCAACATCTCTTCTTCCACTGGAAACCTCATCCCTGCCGTGATCTGAGCTGCCCAAGGAATAGGGAGGCAGGCTCTGCTGCTGCCACAGCCACGAAGAGATTAAGGCTTACTCAGATGTTGGGTCCCTGGTCACCCAAGACTGTTGCACAGCATGGGGGAAGAGATGCCACAGGAGCCCCCTGACTGAGAGTGTGAGGGGCCAGGCCATCACAGCAGGGTGAAATCCCACCCTGGAAAACCTCATCTGCTTCAACTGTGCCCAGTGACACCCACGAGATGACAAAGTTGCTGTGCTATGCGGTCAGTGCTGGGCACAAGCACTTGGGGGCCCAGGCTTGTCTAAGGCTCAAGGTGGCCCCAGGCTCTCATTCCTGGGCTTAGGAGGGGTCTTGTGCTCACTGGGAGGAGGAGGCAGGTTGTGCCCCTTCCTTTCTCCCAGAGTCTCAGAGCATGCAGCTGCTCTGGGGAGCAGAGGCCCTATATAAATTATGCTCTCTGGGCCTTGCTTGACTGCCCTGAAGACCCCCTGAGACACTCACCGGGAACCACAAAGTGCACCATGACATCCTGCCTCCAGCTGAGGCGCAGGGGCTGGCACAGGATGGGCTTCCCATAGAGCAGGTTCCAGGTGCTGGGCTGAGGCTGGGACTCAGTGGCCATGGGGGCTGGGCCATCAGGGTTGGCCTCGGTGCTGTCATCTTGCTTGCCCTGGTGCAGCAGGACGTAGACGTACTCTGAGAGCCGCACAGTTCTCTGGCCCCTCTCCATCAGCTCCAGCTCCATCAGGTAGCGGTTCCCCCGGGCCGTGTCCCGTCGCTTCTCCACGTTGACAATCCGTAGAAGGGTGTAGATGCTGAGGGGAGGGCAGGGCAATGCCCAGGCAGTTAACTTTCAGGGTGAGACCACCACCTTTGTCCCCTCAAATGAGGAACCCAGTCCCTAAAGCTTGCCCACAGGCCAGCAGAACATGAGGGATCCACCCTCCTGGGGGCTTCATCTGGGGCCCCTCCAACATCAGGGGGCTCACAAGGGTGAGCTCATCACCCTCCCTCCCAGCTCAGCCAGGCCTCATGGGGCCACATCTCACTTTGCAGCAGGGTAAGGGCACAGCACAGGGGGCAAGGGCTCTTATAGGCACAAGGACTCTTACTCACAGGGGGTGGGTCTCCACAGGCACATCCAAGAATGGCTTCTCCATGGTCTCACAGCATCTGTACTCCCCTCCCTCCCCACCAGAGCATAGCCCTTGCAGGGCAGGGCAGGCTGGGCAAGAGGCAGGGCTCTCCACTCACCCCAAGGAATGCAGGGCTGGGGAGCTGTTGAGGGAGCAGGGCATGGGTAGCCCAGGCCTGGGTGACTATGGAGACCACACTCACCTCTTTGCTTCAGGACTGGAAGGCCTCTCCCAGGCCAGACCTGAGTGAAGACTCACCCTGTCCTGCTCCTGGTGGATGCCCTATACTTAGCTTGCCCAGCCTGAGCTGTCTGAGCAGGAAGAGGACAAGTCCCGCTCCCTCCCCTAGCTCCTCTCCCTACCCCCCGTTCTTCTCGTTGAGCTTCTCCATGTACTGGGCCACCACATCCACCACCTCACTCTCACTCAGCTGCAAGTTGCCTGACACGTTGCAGCGCAGGTCATTCCAGTCAGAGCGCAGGAGCTCAAAATCCACCGAGCTGACGCTGAACGTCCTTTGCCAGTTGATAGCATCCTCCAGCCAGCTCTGCTGCAGCTCTGCATTCTCGTAGCTGTAGTCTGACAACTCCTCTTCCTCCCCCTCCTCTGGGCCCTTGCCCAGGTGCTCCCCATCCTCCTGCTGTGACTCCGTCATCTCTGACATCCGCAGGAAGGATGTCACCCTGGTCCCCTCTAACAGGGCCACCTCTGAGGAGTTGTAATCCATGGCAGCTACCCCTGCGGCCCTGGCTGGGGAGGCAGTGGTGACCTCAAGGGCCTCCTTACTGAACAGTCTCTCTGCCTTGGGTGTCAGGATTCTGGGTCGCACTCCCTGCTTGCCCCTGGCTCCTGGGCCCTCTCGCTTATACAGCTGCTCCCACTTCCTGCCTCTAGCTTTAGGACTCTTCCTCTTGGAAAGCTCTGTCTCCCTGGAGAGGTGGTCCATAAGCCATGGTGCCCTGTGGCTGGGGATGGTGTGTAGCTTGCTGGAGGGAGCAGGACGCCGCTGTGGGGCCTTAGAGTGGAGATGAACCTTCCTTAGTGGTTTGGGGTAGATGAAGACCCCGGGGAAAGCGGCTTCCTGAACCGGGGCCTTGCGCTTCTTGGGCTGCAGCCGGGTCACGTACACTTTCTCTTGGGGCTTCTTGGACTCCTTCTTGGGTTGCTTCTCCTCCTTGGGTACCTTGGCCTTGCTGCTGAAGATGGGGACGGAGAGGTGGGGCTGAAAGTTCAGGGAGCTGCCTCGCTTTGATGGCGACAGCAGCCCCAGCCCATCCTTATCTCCCTCATCTGGCTCCTTGGCCATCCATCTGAGAGATCGGCCATGGACCACAGTCTGCTCTTGTGCAAGGGCAGTGTTCTCATTGTCATGGAAACCCCCGGCCATGGCTAGGGAGCTGGGGCTGGTTCCATCATGCACATCCCAGGTTATTGGCTGCCCTGGAGGTGCTCCTACATCATTAACCCTCCCTGGCTTGTGGCGGAAGGTGTAGTAGTCCACATCATCCCCATAATCCCTTGCAGCCAGAGGGATCTCTTTCCTCTTGAACCCAGTGCTCAGGCGTGAGTTTGGCACTGCTGGGCTCCTCTTCTTGGCATCGGGAGGTGGGTCTGTGGGCTCAGGGCTGTCTGCTCCTTCCTCCTCCTCTTCCAGGAAATCTGGAAAACAAATAAATACCCTGTAGGCTAATGAAACACAAGGGGAGTCTGGATACACCACAGTACCCGGGACTCTGATGTTCAATAGATTTCATAGATTTCTAGGGTTGGAAGGGACCTTGTAGATCATCGAGTCCGACCCCCTTCTCTAGGCAGGAAAGAGTTTAGATACTTGTCTAATCTCGTCTTGAACACCTCTAAGGTAGGGGAAAGCACCACCTCCCTTGGAAGCCCATTCCATATTTTGGCAACCCTCACCATAAAGAATTTATTCCTGATGTTCAATCTAAATCTACTCTTCTTTAGTTTGTGGCTGTTATTTCTAGTAACCCTGAGGAGTGCCCTGGTAAACAGAGTATCCCCTATTCCCTGCTAACTGCCTCTCCCCACCCCGATGTGTTTGTAGACAGCCACAAGATCGCCTTCTCTTGTGGAGGCTGAAGAGATTCAGGTCCCTCAGTCTGTCTAATGAACCCAGTCATGACAGCAGGTTCTCATAGTTGCTGCCTGGGTAGGGTGGCCCAACAGCAGGTTTGCTGCGAGGAGGGCTGTTGGACTGCCATTGGGTTCAATTAATGAATGGTGTCTTGGACACGGAAGTGCTGCCATGGGGCAGGAAAGGGACTTTCACTTTCACTGCTAGCTGTTGGGTCTGGCCTGGTTAGACCAGCTGTGTAGGGCAGAGGCAGCAGCATTTAGTACTTCTTGAACTCCGGAGCAGAATGGAAGGGCTCCTGTCACGCACACAACAGCTCAGAATGAGAGGCTGGTGTGCACTCATTTGTCTCTTTCTAGGCTGTGAGCTGACTGACAGGCCTCTGGGGTGCACAGGCTCCATCCTCCTCTTCACTCAACTTACCCAGGGAGGCAGATTTAAGTGGGCTACTAATACATAACAATGGCAGCCATGTTTCCTTCTCACGGTGCCTTCCATCCAAGTAGCTCCCAGAACATCTCATGCACCTTTCTGCCTCCTGAGGAAGGAAGGGAAGGCCCCTGGTACCATCTTCATAAACAGGGCTGCAGCCATCCAGGACATTTTTTTACCACGGTAGAGAGACAAGGGAATGCATAAAACACCCAGAGAGGCAGAAACTGTTAAAACTGACATGGAGAGGAGGAGAAAAACCACTGGATGCTTAGGGCAGCTGTGTGTGTTCAAAGAAGAGATTTTGAGAGAAGAATGGCTCAAACCCAGCACTGGTGAAAGATCCACTCAAGTTCCCACCATCTGTTTCAGCCCTCATCCAGCTCTGATGACCCAGTGTCATGAGCATTTATTGTGCATATAATAAATCAGGGCCCTGTGAATGAGGTGCTGTTTACATCTCCAATAATGTGACAGATTTTGTCCCACAGCAGTCCCAGTTGTTCTGATGCTACGTCTAGCCCAGGGGTCAGTAGCGATTTTGGCCAGACAGCCAAAAACACCCCAACTTCAACCCATGCCTCAGCTTGGCATGCCAGAAGCAGACAGCAGGGGAGCCATGAGGGGCCTGATCCTTGTTGCTGGCAGTGAGTGCATGTGTGCCTCAGGGCAATGGTGGGGGACGGGCCAGGATTGTGCTGTCTTGGCCCCTTCCCTGCCATGTTCCCCGAGTCACACATGTACCTGCCACCACCAGAGCCAGTGCCAGAGCTCTGGACCCCAGTGCAGCTGTTTGCAGCCTGCCTGCTGCAGCTGCCCAAAACCCAAGCCAGCTGTAGCAGGCAGCTGGGAAGCTTCAAACAGCTGTACTGGGGTCTAGAGTCCTGGCATGGGCTCTGTGGTGATGGCTGCACATGTGCCTCAGGGTGGATGGCGGGGGAAAGGCTGGGGTTGAGCTGCCCCCAGGTGCGCGTGCAGCCACTGCCACCACAGAGCCCGGATGGGGCTCCAGAGCCTGGTGCAGCTGTTTGCAGTCTCCCGGCTGCCTGCCACAGCCAGTTCAGGCTCTGGACAGCTGCTGCCTGCCATGAAGCCTGGGCTACTTGCAGCCTCCCAGCTGCCTGCTACAGGCAGCCTGGGCTCCATGGCTGACAGCAGCTGCTCAAAGCTGGGGCCAGCTATGGCATGCCAAGCAAAATGGCCTTGGGTGCCATGCCCTGGCAGGTGTGCCAGGGGTTGCTGACCCCTGGTCTAGGCCAAAGTGCCCCATGGACAGGAACTATTGAACCCTGCCCTCTCTTCCTGGTGATGTACACCCCATCTCCCTTTTAGACACAGGGAAACCAAAGCCAACAGAACTGTCTCACCATGAGGCAAACAGTGACTTGTTGGCAGGGTCATATCTCACTGCCCAATGACTCCACCTAACACAGGCTACAAGCACTTTCTCTCCATGTCCTCTTGAGGGAGCTCCCCTCTCTGTGTGTCCGAAGCTTCTCCATCAGGCTTTGCCTGCAGTACAACCAACTTAGTGGCCTTGAGGGGAAGGAGGCAGAGGAGACTTTTCCCTTTGCTCACATCCAGGGGATTTGACTGCAAACTCATTCACAGGAACCACGGCAGTGTGTCAAAGGGATGGGGTTGGTCTGATCAACACTAATTAACAGCCCTGCACTTGGGAAAGGATTTGGAAGGGAAAGAAAGTATTGATCCTCTTTGAAGGCAATTAAAACATTGCTCTCAGCAGAAAATTGGCTTTGGCCTGACGGGTGTTCTGACTTCCAGCGGCGGAGGCCGCCTGTGTGGGAGAGGGGAGGGACGGGAGGGCTCTTGGGTATGCAAGAAGGACCTGCAGTCATGGGCAGAGAGCCACACATCCTTGTCAGGCCCAGAACGTCCTCTGTGAGAAGGCAGAGATCTACTACTGATCTACCTGGGGCCTCTGAGACAGTCTGAGAGGCCACTGGTGCCAGCAATGAAAGGGTGCTCACAGGCACAGGCTGACTGACCCATTCCTGGCCTTGTTAATCACTCCCATTAGCCTTACTGCAATATTTCTACGGAGCACTCTGGTAAGGTTGGTGTCAAGGACACGGATGGGCCAGTACAACTGGGGTCAGGGAACATGGCGGCACTACTTCACGGGGGAGGAGGGGATGCATGGGCCTATTCCACGGTAGGACCCAAAGATAAGTGTCATGGCACTAAAGTGCTGGATTCAGTGGCTGAGGCCATTGGTAATGACGACAAAAGGTGTGGCCTGTCTAGGAAGGAAGAAGGAGATGCCCCCTTCTACACAACCTTGCCTGAGTGAGATCCCCCCATA